TAAAGGAGTAAACAGTTTTTTTTTTTTTTTAAGATCATTAATATTGTATTACATTTACTGTTGTGAGTAGACCCGAGATAAGTAAATCATAACAGAACTAAGTAACCAAAAAGTGATCACTTAGGATAAGAAGAGACTACTAAGTATGATTTTTATCAAGAACAAAAAAATTATTAGAATTTAGCTGTAAAAATCAAACATGGGATAACTAAAAAATCAATTAAATGCTAATTAATGATTATAGTTGATTAAAATTAATAGGTATTTTATTTAAGATTATCAAAATTTTAGCGGTGCTAATTTATAAGTCTTCAAGACTGTTATAATTTCAATATTAATTAACTTTTATTTTGATTAATTATATATAATTAAAACATTTACTAACAGGTTATTAATTAATTAGAGATTTTAATAGTAAGTTAGAATAATTAAAAATTAAATAAGATTTAACTAGGATGACCAGTACTTGGATGAATTAATTGCAAATTAAATAGATTTTTTAAATAAACAAGTTAGGATAAAACATTCATAGTCAACAAAACAAGTTACAAAGTAACAAGAACTGTAAAAGAGCCATATAGGATTTTTTTTTTTAATTTTTATAACAGTAGATGAAATTTAAAAAAGGGTAGAAAAAATAAGATTAACAAGTAACAAAAAAGGGCTTTCAAGCAGCTTTCAGCCACTAAAGCAATTCCAAAGTAGATTTCAAATATGCTAACCTCCTTTTGCCGATATAGACAATCCAGAAATAAATCAAGAATGAGATTTCAAATCATAAAACTTTATGAACCTCTATTTCATTGTTAAAGATTCTAACATCAGGTTCATTCGAAATAAAACAGATTTAATTATTGTACTTGCACTATATTGATTAAAGTTTATATTTGGGTTGTTAAACATAAATCATATTTTTTTACAGAAATAGAAAATAAAAATATAATCGAAATATAGTTTTGTTGTAAGTGAGACCTAAATAAATAAATAAGAAAACCACCAAGCCAAAACAATTAATATTTCAATCAACACAAATCAGCGAATTATTTGAATGGATTGCAGATGCAAACTAATAAAATGCTAAGTGTTGGAATAGAAGAAAGTAGAACCAGAGTGTTTCATATTGATGCAAAGAGGGGTACAAATAGCCTATTATAGGATCTACTAGTAATAAAACAAATTAAAACATAATAAATGAAAAAAAGAAAGTACATAAAAGCAAATCAAAGTAATTAATAAAGAAATCTGCATATTAATTTTCTAATCTCTAATACCCGTCCTTCAGTTAAAGAATAGATGTCAGTCATGTTCAACTTGGATTTGAAATAACTGAACAGTGGTCGAAGAAGGTTTTTTTTGTGAGAATATCCGCTAACTGACCACTAGATGACACAAACAGAACACAATTTCCCCGAACTCAAGTTTTTTCTTAACAAAGTGATGATCAATCTCAACATGCTTGGTACGATCATGTTGGACTAGGTTGTGAGCAATGCTAATGGCAGTCATGTTATCACAGAACAACTGTAGAGGAGCGGAGACTAACATAAGGAATTCATGGAGCATGATGCGTAACCTGATAGCTTCACAAATTCCCAAGAATATGGAATGAAATTCGGCTTTCGCACTGCTCCGAGCAACTACAAACAACTTCTTACTCCACCTGACCAGGTTTCCCCACACAAATGAGCAGTACTCCAAATTAGATTGTCAATCATGGAAGAGGACCAAGCCCAATCTACGTTTCTGTAAACTACAATAGAATGAGATGTGTGGCAGGAAAAAAAAACCTGAGCTCGATGTGCCTTTTAAATAGTAGAGAATTCGATGGACAGCTTGGAAGTGGTGCTCATAGAGATCATGCATGAATTAACTGACTATCCCAACTGTGTAGCATATGTCTGGGCGTTTATAGGCAAGGTAGGTGAGTTACTTCACAAGGCGTTGGTGGTGAGTTTTGTTTACAGGTACAACATTTGGAATATTAAGAAGTTTTTCATTGGGATCCATCGGGACAACCGCTAGTTTGCATAGGAGAATATTGTTCTCTGATAAAAGGTCAATCACATATTTCCACTGAAACAGGCAAATACCCTGAGATGACCGAGCAACTTCCATGCCTAAGAAGTCTCGAAGAAATCCCAAGTTTTTCATTTCAAAAGAAACAGCAAGAATGCCTTTCAGAAATGCCAATGCTAGTAGATCATTACCTGTGAGAACAATATCATCAACATAGCCAATAAGGGTACCTACCTCGCGCTGGAGGAATGTTGGCAGAAGAGAGTGTGGACGGATTGGGCCTGAGTGAATCCATGGCCTATCACTACCTTTATGAATTTCCCAAACTATGTCTGTGGTGATTGCCTCAATCCATAAAGGGATTTTTGTAGTTTACACGGAGTCAAAGCCTGGAGGAAGAGCCATGTATACCTCCTCTGTAAGATCATCATTCAAGAACGCATTCTTGATATCAAGTTGGAACAAGGGTCAATCCAAATTCACTCCAAGGGATAAAAAGACCCAAATGGTGTTTAATTTATCAATAGGCACAAATGTCTCCTCATAGTCAACTTCGTAGGCCTGAGAGTATCCTTTAGCGACCAATAATGTCTTGTTGCCTTCAAAGGATCCATCTAATTTAAACTTACTGCTAAAAATTCATCAACATCCCACTGCTTTTTTGCCTCAAGATCGATAATTTCCCAAGTATGGTTCCGCGGAAGTGCTTTCATCTCCTCCATGACAGCAACTTTCCAAGCTGGGTCTGCTAAGATAGCCTCAATAATAGATGGAAGCTAATGATTGGTCAAGGTCATTGCAAATGCTTTGTTGTTTGGGGATAATCTACGATGAGAAACATAGATTGACATGGGATAATGAGATAATGAGAAACTGTCTAGATGCGTGCTTTACTAGAGGAACTGACTTCTCATTTGGAGCAAGAGCAATGTTGGGGATGTCGTCGGGAGAGGATTCAGGGTTCAACAAGGGAATAGCGAGCTCACCAGAAAAAGTGCGTCGAGTGTAGACACGGAGAGTGGGAGGATGTGTTGATGGAACCAAAGGGAGAGAGGCTTCATTGGTGGTTGAAGTGGGTGGAACTAAAAGAACAAAAGGTTCCTTGATGATAGGTAACGTGGAGTTGGGGGGGGGGGGGGGGGGAGGGCATCCATAGGAGTAGCGTAAGAAACAGTGTCTAAAAACTCAAGCTCCCTCTCACTGGAGGCCGAGTTAGGAATGTAAGAAACACTTTCAAAAAAGGTGACATTAGCACTCACATAGACCTTATTTGTGGTAGGTTCAAGGCACCGATAACCCTTTTAAGTGGCAGAGTATAAGAGGAAAACACATTTTATGTACCTAAGATAAAGTTTACTTTGAGTTAGGGCAGTGTTCCTAACAAAGGTTTTGCACCCAAAAATTTTAGGATCTAAAGTGGAGAAAATCTGATTATTAGAAAAGCACAATCTCTAAACAGCTAAAGGGGTACGGAAGTTGCGAATTTTCTTAAGTAACTTTATTGATAAAATCAGTGGCGGTAAGAATGGCATCATTCCAGAAATATTGTGGGACATTTGAGTGAAAAATAATTAAGCAAGTAACGTTGAGATGTCTATTTTTCCTCTCAGCAACCCCATTTTGTTGAGCGTTGATACATGAGCTATGATGGAGGATATCTTACTAAACAAGAATTCTCCTACTATAGAGTTAAAAAATTCACGACCATCATCAATCCGAAGGACTTAAATAGGAGTTTTGAATTTGTTCAAAATGAAGGTGTAGAATTTTTTTAAAGTGACAACAGCTTCAGATATATCTTTTAAAATATAAACACATGTCATCTGAGGGTGATCATCAATCAAACAAACCACCGTTTATCGGTGTAACTAGGAGTGCAAGAGAATCCCTATAAGTCACACTATGAATAAAGGAGAAAGGCATAGAAGATGTGTAATTGTGGGGTGGATAAGAAACGCGATGATGTTTAACTAACTGACATGTTTCACATTCGAAATTAGAAGGATTTTATAAGTAAACATCAACAGATACTGTTGTTTTAGATATTGAAAGCTAGAATGACCCAAAAACAATGTAACAACATAATAGGACATTTAGTGAACTGAAATAAACTGCAACTACTATGTGAAGTATCCTCGTTCTCCGTGCTTTTCTTTTGGAAGAAGTAGAGCCCGTCTACCCGATTAGCAACTCCATTCATCCTTCCTGAACGACGAACCTAAAAGACACAGACATCAAAGGAAAAATGAACAATGCAATTAATGTCATATGTCATCTTACTGACAGATAAAAGATTACATTCCAACAAAGGTACATGTAATACAGATTCCAAAGTTAGAACTGTTGTTAAAACTTAACAGCATCTTCTAGTGATAGCTCGGTGCTGGAGAAGTCTGTCGTGATTCTGATTGAGCCAAACAAGATCTTAGATTGTTCGGACAACGTAAGGTTTTCGGCTGCTAGAAGACCTTCTGGCCAGCTGGAAGAACGTTCTGACGGTCATATTACCTGCTCTGGAGAGGCATCAACCAGCTAGGATCGAACAGATAGGCAGAATCCAGCAATATCTAGTGGTATCTAGCGGAAGACGGGATCCATCAAGATACGGGATCTAAGAGGAATCCAACGAGAAATTCCAACACGAGGCAAAATCCAGCGAGAGACAAAGCTTCCTAGCATCTGGGCAAGAGAGAGCGGCTGGATACAAACCTAGCCGGAGAGTCTAACGGAAGCTAGGTTAGGGTTTTGGCTCTGATACCATGTTAGAATAGAATAGAGTGGAAACAGAGTTTTCATATTGATACAAAGAAAGGTATAAATACCCTATTACAAGATCTATTAATACGGAAACAAATTAAAACAGAATTAAAGAAAAAAAAAAGTAAATAAAAGCAAATCAAAGTAATTAATACAGAAATCTGCATATTAATATTCCAATATTCTAATATTAAGAAAAGCAGCAGATAAGAAAGGTTGTATCATACCTGCTTTATGAAGTACCCAACAGCATTGTTGTCTGCATAAGTAAGAAAATGTGTTAGCCCATCAACATCACGAGCATGTTGCTTTAAGTGATTCATCAGCCTTGTGCCGTAGCCTTTAACTTGTTCATCAGCTGTAATAGCACAAAAAGCTATCTCTCCAAACCTCTGACTACAAAACAACATCAATAATATGTCAAAATGTTTATTTCTTTGCATCGGTATTAATTAGATATTATATTAGTTATACAATAAAAGTTGCCTCTTAAAACAGAAAAGAATGATGACTGCATAAATTATTTCAACTGGTCAAGGAATGTTAGAAAAACAAATCCAACTTTACAAGGTGTTTGAATATCCTTTTTTATTATTTTATTGTGTTAATGAGTTCATGTTTGTCAAACATCCTCCTTCAGGAATGATCTTTTATGAGGGCATACATTTTAATGGTTCGAAAGATGTCATGAAAATTAACTCAATCTTCAGACGTGAAATGATATACTAGATAATATGGAAAGATCAAAGAATGGGTTAGGATATTAGTAGGCTGGGCAACGATGGAAAAAAAGGTGCAGGGGGCTAAAATCGAATATTTTTCAAGGATAGAAACATGTCCCAAATACTTTATTAATAGAAAGAAGGATACAAAACAATTACAAATATAAAAAGCATTTTTTCAATTATAGATTGAATTCCACACAAAATTAGGGAATATTTAAATTAAAGGAGGCCGCATCTTTATCAATCAATAACATCAATATTATCAAGCCAACCAAAGTTCTTGGTTTTAAGAAAGATTTTGCTGCTTCTACACTTCCATCCAAATCCGAAATAAAACTCTCTTCCAGGCTTGCAGCCATATATGGTAGCAAGAGAGAAGAGAGAAAAGAATCTTATTGACGCAAGATCTTACCGGTCAGCGGAACTGTAGCTGCTACAGTACCGCATGCCAGCCCTTCCCACCCCCTCTCCTTTCCTATTTCTATCCAATTCCAATTCCTTCACAGTCTATAGCTTGCCTTTTTTAACCCCTCTCTACTTCTATTTCTTTCCAATTCCAATTCCTCCATATTCATTGCCTACATTTTCTACCATCTTCCACTTCTAGCCCAATTTTAAATTCCTTCCTATTTCTTTGTGCTCGGATCATTTGTATTATGTTGTCTTTTCCCATGGAGTTGAGGTTTTTTTAAGATTGCTTATTTCAGTTACAGCCTTTAAGGCGTACTTCCCCTCTGGGATATGTACCCAACAGGGAAAAGGTGTTTCAGCTGTAACTCGTCCTAGGTGGTGACCATCATCAAGGGTTTGGGTGGTGCGACGGTTGTAGCTTGACTTCGACAAGACATTTATGCTTTTGCAGCCCCTCCGACCCCGCCATCTTCTCTGTTATCGTCCAAACCTCCAACCTCAGGCTCTTTCCTACTGTCGCCAAGCCCCTCCAGGTTAGTTCTTGCTGCAGCCAACCCCTCCAAGTCAGTTCTTGCTGTCGGCAGCCCCTTCAGGGTTCGTTCTTGGTGCTGCCCAACCCACTAGCACCTGTTCCGGCGACTGTCCAGTCGACCCTTACCTCGTCCAGCGGTTGTCCAGCCTCTGAACGCTTGTTCCTGCTGCCGTCCAGCCCGCCATCACCTGTCTGCAGTTGTCCAGGGCCACCCACCACACAGGCCTCCCAGACCTTCCCTGTTGCCGACCAGGCCTCCAACGCCCTTCCCATCATTGTCCACCATTTCCAACACCGTCACCACTTGTTGGTCGTCATCTTCCAGCACTACCACCGCTCTCATCTGGTCCTGCGGAAACTTTTGCTCTCCCCTATAGAGAGTCGTTTATGTGTTTTGTGTTAGTTCCTTTCTTACTTTTCACAGCATCGTCATTGTCCTTTATGTTTGTATGTTAGTATTGTTTATGTTGAGGAGTCGTCATTGTAACCTCTTAGAATTTCAGCAATAATATTTGTATTTCCATTGTGGTTTGAGTTAATTCCAGTATCACTTATTTATTCAATTTTCTAAACATAACTAAATGCTGATTCAATTAAATGAAGAAATTAAGTGAAAGATTTCGTTCAGGTTATTATTTCGGATGATTTTGCTTGCTTGAAGAATAGAAGACCACTCACGGACAACATTGGTTTTGAACATTGAGCATAGTGACACAACAATAAAGACTATCGACAAAGAGTGCGTTAATTACTTCCCTGAATATCTAACTCCCTAAAAAAATAAACATCAGAGCATCTCTAAATGACTAAAAGATAGATTTCTCTAAAAGATATCAATGAACGGAAAATCCAAAGTTTCAGAGTTACTTGTTTTTGCAATGTGATGGTTAGCTGTGGAACTATATTTTTCTTAAAAGTTGATCTAGAACCAACAGATAGGTTAAATGCATTACGCATAAACCATGAATTATACCCTTTCTGAATATAAACGGACCTCATTTCACAATAAATAAGCAATCAAATAAATTATATTACAAAGTAAAACTAAAAGGCTACATTTAAAAGATTTTGCAGTAGAGCAAATGGCAAAATCCTCCCTTGTCATATAAAAACTATTACAGGAATGGAATACTTCTACTTTCGTATTAAGCAAGAGAGTATTAGCAAATCGAAACATAAAAATAATATGACTTAAAAGTGGAAACTTAAAGTGGCTCACCAACCTGTGCTTTGCATGGTTTAAAGTAAACCATAAGAAGTTAGAACTTCTAATGTCAACAAAAGAAAAATAAAAATACAGCTATGGCAGAGCCCCTCGAGGCACATAATTTGTGCATGTCAAACAAAGACATATTTAGAAGCAATACAAACAAACTAGAACACATTGAAAGATTGAAGGAACCATCTGCCTCTAAAAAGCTTGAAGAAATGTTACAATAAGCTTTAAGTAAACAAAAAAATAATTAATGAGAATGTCCATTACACAAAAAATAACTTTAGAAAAATAAATATCTTAGGAGCAGCATGTTGTTAAATGTCTATTAAAATAACAAATAAAAATTTCAGCATGCATATTGCTGATAAGGTAACTACAAATTCTTTCCACAGAAACTGTTTCGATCAAATAATTTAAGAGAGAAAGAGAGGAAGCCAAAATAAAAAATGTCAAGGATAATCTATCTATATAGAAGAACAAAAAGGAAGAACAGCAACCGTACTACCATACCTAAGATATGGCCTGTATGTTATGCCCCCAACAACCTGATTAAGCCTGATAACCATCATAGACTTGTGGTTTCTGCAGAAATTTTTATTTAAACTCATGCAGCATTCTGAATATTGGCATCAAAGCATATACTATATTGGAAATACAACAAGGCTTATAAGAAAACATTGTCAGCAACATCAACAATCCGCAAGTCACATAACTAAAAGAAGATCTAGTAAAAAAACAACAAAAAATATGTTAATATTATAAAAGCCATCACAGAAGTCACACAACCTTCTACCCGTGCAGCAGTTATCAATTTCTTAGTTTGTCTGGTTAGCAAGTTTGCCTTCCTCCAATTAGTAGGAATGTTTCAAGGCTGGTATCACGGGTGGATTTGCTGCTTAGACATTAAAACTTCAATTACGGCAATTCAATCCACATAGGTATCCAACCTCTCAGAAAGAATGCATGGAAAAAAAGTCAAAATTATGCAGAAAGCAAAAGTTGTTTGTCATCATTGCTCTAGCTGAGAAATTTGGCTGAAACATCTATATGCATCTTCCTTGAATTTCCATTTTATAACATTTGAATGATGTCAGAAGATGAGTTCAAGCAATTTTACCCAGGATGGGACTTACAAAAGGAAAAGCAAAATTGTTGGCAATCACACAAAAAGGTATGTATCTGTTGGAAACATAAAGTCTAACATGTTTTATGATGAAAAATCACATGTTACATATAGTTTTGAGGCTTTGTTCAGTTTCATTTTTTTCTATTTAAGCAGATTTTTAAATAGCCGACAACAATATTTTTGAAGCGGAATCCTTCAGGTCAGGAAAGGGCAATGTGAGGCTTCAAGTCCACAACAGAGAGCGCAAGGATTCTTAACCAATTTAGTCATCCCTGTTATGTTCAGTCAGTGAATTAAAAGGAGGCCTTTACTACTTTTGTTTTCCTTCCATTGATTTTTAGAAGATTAAATGATGTTGTTCGGCGGATGAATCTAGAAGGAAGAATAGAAAATCCCTACAGATAAACACATGATTAAACGGGATAATTGAAAGCAATAACATAAAAAGAATGTTAGGACTAACGATACGTACTCTATAGCTTTACCAAACAAAACCTATAACGAATGAATTCAAAGCTGTTAGGATTCATAATAAAACGATCATGCAAGTCCACATAGATTTCAGAGCTCTTCTAAATTGTTTCAGCAAATTATAACCCAAGAACATAAGCAATGTTTTTTCCTTTTTATTCTTTTATCCAAATTAAATTCACCTATAAAATTGCTTAGATGAATAGAATTCATTAACTATTGAGTGTGAAGTTTTTAATTCCAGGTGTGAAACATGAAAAACTACTGGACATTGTGTCTGGCTAATTTTAAAATTTGCTTTAACACTTTTAAAGCATCCATAGTCTAATCTTCTTATGTTGTTTTTTTCCTGTGAGTTGTTCATATTTTCCTCAATTTAAAGCAGCAATTGGTGATATACGGTAAAAATTATATATGGATAGAAGAATAGCTTCAGCATTTTAAGGATCTGCATAAAACGGCAATTATAGATTTTGCCATTTGTTGATTCAAAGGACAAAGAATAAACAAATATTCATCGGAGATACCAAAAAAAGCAAGATTAAGTGGGGGGAGAAAACTTCTCAAAACAAGCGGAGGCTTAGTTCATTTTTTGCGATGCCCTAATACTTCAAAAGATGAGATATTCAAAGACTTATAAAGGCACATTTAGTTGCCTATTGCCCATAACAAAATGCTACCTATTACAACTAACAGAATACTACTAACTACTAACCTACATAGCATTTTACAAATCGCTATCATCATCAACCTTTTCAAAGATGAACTTGCCCTCAAAGTAAAATGACAACAAGATAGAATAAATCCAAATGAAGAACCCATGCAAAGTTTTACATGATGGTATGTGGTAAAAACATAACAAAACTACGGGAGGTTAGTGCCTGTGAAGCCGTACTTCATTTCAACAATTTGTTCATGACCATTGAAATGAAGAACCCATGCAAAATATTTAGATGATGGCAGGTTGGTAAAAACATAACAAAACTACAGGAGATGGGTGCCTGTCAAGCCGCACTTCATTTCAATGGAAAAACATAACAAAACTTCTTCCAGTTGTTCCTATGTCTTGCAATTGCTACAATGTGATTTGGGCTGTCTTGGGCATGCAAAGAGTAGCAGATATAGCACATGCAAGTAACATAAAATTGACTGGAGCAGGAAAGCATGATTTGATGTTTATTTGAAGTTTGAATCGCACAATGAACTCGAGCAAGACTCCTGCCAGTCATCATCAAACTAAAAAATCCAAGGGCTACAACATGAAACATGTAATGCGAGGTGAGAGCTTGTCTTCAACATTTGGGAATTTTTGCATCAAGTTTGACTCAAAAATTACTAAAACTCTCCCAACTTATGTTCAACTCTGCCAAGGCATTCCAGCGCCATGATTACTACTACAGGAGTATCTTCAAACACTGCCATTAACATTGGAATATTGCCTTTTAGATTTGACAATAGATGAAGCTACTATGAAATTGTGATTTAACAATAGATGAAGCTACTATGAAATTGTGATTTAAACTTTTGATACCAGAGCTGAAGTGAACATATTGTTGTAAAAAATGGAGATGAAATAAAGATGTCAATATGCAATACGTTACAATGGATAAGAATGGATAAAATAAAATGGAGACTTGAGTTATAGATATGATTTGACGTGAGATCTAGTGGATATCTGTGATGGTGAAGGCAGCAAAAATTGTACGCTTGTGAAATGTGGGACGTCAAATGTCAATGGGAAACGATGCTTGTGTGTAGAATGGGGAATTTAGCAGATGGAGGCAATGATCAAAGGCAGCACCTGGGGAAAGCCCGACGCCAATTGATAAAAACTCATTACATGACCGGACAAAATGCAATGGAGAGAAGGATAAATGATGATTCAAGTTTGTAGAGACTCATAAATTATAAGTTTGAGAAGGCAGGAGATACTTAAATGTTTACAAGGATACATTTAGCTACCTATCAACCATAACTTCGCACACTCTATCTATTACAATCATTAAAACTAAGCATCAACTATTAATCCATAAAAACTGTAGCAGATCCCCATCACTTATACCCCTCTATGGTTAGAGCTTTTTCATAATTTTTATTCTAATTCATTAATTTTTTAAGCTTTTATTTATCCTTTAAAGCTACTCATGCTTTAAATCATTTAATTCATATATATAGTAGCTTTATACCAATTAAATCCGAATAAATGCTACAAAGCTACAAACTAATTAGGTTGGTATCTTCTAGTAGGAGTCGCACTGGCTGTAACACCCAAAATTTGAGAATTAAGAAAAAATTTGTCAAATTTTAAAAGTGCCCCAAATTTCGCATCCTCAAAATTCAATCAAATTCTTTTTATAAAATTGTATGCATGGAATTGATCAATTCAATATAAAGCAATATATCTTAGTTGTGATCGTATTGGGAGATATAAAATTTAGAAGTTATAAGTTTAATTAAATTAATCAAACCTTAACTAAATAATTAATTCTGAATGGCTACTGTTTCCTGCCAAATCCTCCCGCACTTATGCATTTAAGAGCCTGATTAGATTGAAGGACCGAAAGAAAAGGGACCTCAATAAAATGTTATGTCCCTACTCACTCTCCTGATTTTTTCTCTTCCCACGAGCTCCTCTACAATCTTGCACTGTGACAGAGTCGCGAACTAAAGCTGGCGTGTGACCCGACGAGCGTCGCACGTGCCATTTCAAGGATCCAGGGAAAATTCAATGAGTACGAACCTCTCTTTAGCAAATATTTATGACGTTCTTTTCTTCCTTAAGTTTCCATTTTGACTTTGTCATGAATCAACGCGTTTTTTCATTTCTGGTAGCCGTAGTAGGTGTCAAACTTATGTGGGAAGCGTCGAACTTAGTTTGCGAGCTTCCATAAGGGTTTTAACATAAAATCAGCGAGGGAAAGAAAAGATTGAGGTGTTAGGTAAAAGAGCGAAGTGGAATCGGCAAGTTTGGTGAAGGAACGGTTATGCCGAGAAGCCCATTTGAGGTATGTTTTCACAAATAAGTTATATTTTTGGTTAAATCACGAAATGAGCTATGATTCCATGAATTCCTACTATGTCTACAATTTCCAAGTTATTTTCGTGGCAGCGAGCTCATTCGTCATGGGGTTGCTTCATCTAGTCAGGTGAAACAATATCGTGCTAACTTAAGAAAAATAATTGTCTATAGGTTTTCATGTGATTCCACGTCTGACACTGGTGCATTTAGAATTTCTTACATATTATGGATTGATGTCTGCATTGAATGTAAGAATGCATAATAATTTTTCTTACGATACATTTGATGCTATTATATTATGATGAAAATGAATATGTTTATGAAATTAATTTTCGCAAGCAGTCATTTGATATGATTCATGCATGTGATATATGAAATGTATATAAATATTTGATACAGTTATTATGATTTAAGAAATATCACGAGTAACATTATGGGTAGACTATTACATGAGTGTTTGTAAGTACGTTATGCGGAGATATGGTATTCCCGACTCCTGGTGTTCAGGCGGTGACGAAACTCTGGAAATCGTTGTAATCATACGGTGACAGAACGTAGGGAACAATTGGTATTAGAAGAGCTAGTAAAAATTGCTATGTTGGAGGGCAATTTTCATCAAAAGTTAATATGGTTTTTGCAGCAGTCATGATATAACGAGAGATGGAGCTAGTTGAGGCATATACATTTACATGTGGCATATATAAACAAGATTATGATTCTTAAAACGATGCTCATGATTACACACGAATGAATGGCATAGATGCTTTAGACAATATTCATGATTTTTTTACACTACCTACTTTTCTTTTACATGTATTATGTAATTTTATCATGTTATGACGTGTGTATACATGTGCAGACATATGAGCATGCACGTTTTTTCTTTTCCGTATATAAAATCTTATTTTCGCCTTGATTATTTCATTGAGCTCATTATCGTTCATTCAAAGTTGTTTACTTACAGGA